TTCCTGTGTTTAGACGTTCCTGTTTCAGTTAGTTTGCGGTGGTAATCGGATAAAAAAAGCTACCGACAAAAAAGCTAGGGGATAAAAAAAGACACGGATTTATTTTTGTGCTATAACAATATAAATACAATTGGGAATCATATCTGTGTTAAAGGGGGCTTTTATCAACTTACCCAAAACACACATAGAAAAATTCAGTCTTGCAGTTGAAAATATGTATCGATAAGGGTGCCGTGTGCCGCCTTAAAAAAAAAAAAAAAAATTATGATATTGAAAAGGTTTATTTTGCATAATTATCTATTAAAAACTTTGTATACGACGAAAAAACAAAAATAACTTTGTATTATCATATAATTTGAAAAAATATTTCTACATATTTAACTAAAATAATTTAAACATTATTTAGAAATCATAGTATACTATGCAYGATGCACCCCCCYGACAAGATTCGTGGTGGCGCCTATGAGTATCGAACTAATAATGATTTTAGTGGATTTTGTAGAAAACTAGATAGTCTAGCATTTTTATCAGAGGCCATAGATTTAGACGATTTAGTAGATTATTTTGACACCACGTATGTCCACGGTCTTATAGAAGCGTTCAAAGTAATTCGAATAATGGTATCAGACTACAAAATATTCCACCATTCTATTCACCATCAATATGGAATGTCCATAAAACTACCCTTGAGAATGGACACATCGAACCAATAACCAAACAGAAGGRTGGAACCATCGTTTCTCAACATTAGTAGGCCACAATCATCCTTCTATTGGACATTAATTTAAAAAAATGAGGTTAGAGTTGTCTTCTGATGAAACAAAATCAGCTCAATTTGCAATAGGCAACTAAAGTAAATAAAAAAAAAACACTTATGAAAACATGCAAGAAAAATTATACAAAATATGTAGTGATGGCTTAATTCTACGAACGATGGATGAGTATTTAACAGCTATTGCTTACATAATAAGATTATTTTAAGATTATTTTTATATTATTACCAATATTTTTAAATTCTAAAATTTTAATTTTAACTTATTTAAATAATTTTAAGTTTTATTGTATTCAATTTTTAAAAAAAAATCAGTGTCTTTTTTATCCTAGATTCGTTTGCGGTATCACCCTAGTGCGCTGCGAAGCACATAAGGACGGTTCTACGAGTCGATTACTCATCAGTAGGGCTACAATAATTGTAGTTATAATTATTTTTATTAAAGAAAAAACGAATTATTTACAGTTCACTGTAGTTGTACACTAAGGACAAGGTTAATTTAGGTACTAAGTAATGAATTCGATTTTGTAATTTATAATTTATAATTTTAAAATGTCTGTCTTATACATATTTTGCACGMTATGTACGCACATCACACTCAACTAATTAATAAAATATTTTATTAAATATATTTGCTGAGTTTATATTCTTATGATTTAAAACTATGATAGCATTTTTTACTGATATTCTTATGCTTCAAGTAATTTTTTTTTAAGGTTTCTAATGCATTCAACCAATAACCTTGATTATTAGCAGGTCATTATGGAATATCTTAGTCTCCAGGACTCCCTGTCCGTTCTTAGATACTGCAAATATTGAACTTTACTTAGTCTCAAAATTGGGGACATAGCTAACGTTTTTTTAAGAGAACTGTTGAGCATACTTATTAAAACTGTACAGTCGTACATTATTTAGGAATAAATTATGTTTTTTTCAATTCAATCACATAATCCACAGTTATGTAGATTATAGAAGATGCTTAAATGTTTTGACGTTCGTTAGATCATAATATATTCAACATGCTGCAGTATTGACATATTGTTGATAAAACAATATTGGAATCAGTGAGATTGTCCTTTGAGTACATTGAAAAAAAAGCAACTAATTGTCAAGGAAATATTTATTGATGTGGAATGAGAAACATTATCAATAATGAATAAATAGTGCAATAATTTTTTTTTTTTTTTAATTATATTTTTATATACCTTTACATAGTACATTATTACACAAATGCTAAATATTACATCAATTACATCAAATTACACAGAGAACTATAATTTATATAATATTACTAATATATATATTTTTAATTTATATAATATAACAAATATTATAATTTTTTTAGGGTTTTTTATAGTGCACATAGCATCAAAATTTTAACTTCAAATAAACACGATAACTACAAATTCAAATGTTACACTATACCAATACACAAAAAAAAATGTTTTAAGTTTGAATATACAGGCATTATAATATATATGTATAGAGTAGTAATAAATACTAAGAATATTACTTTAATTAATAAGTTTTTATTACATTAATCAAATACCACTACGATATTTCCTTAGTAAATCGAATAGGGTCTATAAAATAATAATGTTTATATTTAAAACCACAGCACAGTTTTAAAGCTGTTTTGAATTTCTTAAAAAAAAAAAAAATATATATAATAATAATTGTTTACATATAGTGAAAGAAATTCATACACTGATCGTCATTAAAAATAACAAAAAAAAATCTAACAAAAATGTCAATTAGAATAAAAAACCTAATAAAAATTAATAACTTTTAACATTATTTTCATATATTTATAAATATTATATAATGGAAATAATAATGAACAAATTTACTTACACTGTCAAAATATTAATAAACCTTTACACATCAGTCTTGCTATGAAATATATAACTTTTTTACGCTTTCTTTACACTGCCAATATTAAATTGTTAGTAGTTAACCCCATACAAATTTACATAGGAATAATAAATTAAAATACAGATAGACAAAGTAAAAATTCTAACCATCATTAAGTCATAGATAGAGTAAACAGGCTGTGTTTTTTCATTTTATTTATATACGTGKATTCTACTTAAAACTTTAAAAAAGTTTGTCATAAATCATTTATACTGAACATAATAATGTTTACCATGCAAATATTGCATGCTAAAATTTCTACAATAATCTAACTATTATTTTATTAGTTATACACATATATATATWTTTTTTAATGATAATAGACGAAAAATCATAATTAAAAATAAATCTAAAAATATAAATCAAAATATATTTATATAATATTATTATATTAGTACTAAACTAGTGTAAATAGATTACGAGGGGATTAAAAGGGATGTCCAAAATATTTTTCATTTATATATATATTATTATTATATTTAATATCATTAGTTATTTATTATAACAGCTAATCCAAATATTATTTTAAGAAACATTACAAGTCTAAATTTAAAAGGGAGAAAATTTGTATCTATGTGTTACCAATGAATTAGTTACTATAGAATTTGATGAGAGACATTTTTTTTATGATCATATTATGCTAAGTGTGTCTCAAGAAAAAACTATATGATTAATCTATCAACGCGTATAATGGGTCAAAATGGCATCTCACACATAAATACAGTTCCATTTATTAAAAATATTAATGAGGTGTTTATTGGTTTTAATAATTAAAGGTTGCGTGTAATGTACTCRAAGAAGTACAAACATTATAAATTGCATAGGTGGTTAAATTTTTAGAAATATAATATTAACATATATAAAAATGTGTAATTTAATAATCCTGAATGCAAAATTGTAATATCCGTTTTTAATGGAATTAATATTTTAAAATAATGATTGCGTATAATTAAATGAGTATAAATAAAAATGCAAATGTATAAAACTGCAATATCTTTTAAAAATGGAAAGTTTCAAGACCAAGGCTATAGTCAAGACAACAACAATTTTATTTTGACGAATTTGTGATAGGGCACCGAGTCAAATAATAATGAATTACTGGTTAATAACAATATACTGGTTACCTATGTTTGCTGGAGCAAAATTTACAATTTTAAGTTTATAGATGGGTACAGGTCAATTATAATAGAAAAAAAAATTTTAATTACACAATATACTAAAAATTAGCAGTCTTAATTTATTTTTATTTTTTAGATGTTTTATACATATTATAATCAAAACATAAAAATATAATATWATTTTAAAATGTTTAATTTTTTCACTCCATTATTGGAGCTTAATAGTGTTATTTGTGTTTGTTTTAAATGTTTAATACATAAGTTGGAAAGAAAAGAAAACTTTTTAAAATTTATCATTAGAGAAAAAAGATTATGTTCACATTTCTTCATTATGTACATATTATCAGGAACATCATAGTCTAACTTATGCGTCTATGAGAAACACGTTTCGAGTTTTATAAAATTATATAAAATTATTAGTTATTACGAATGACAGGATAATTTTTGCATATATATAAAAACATAAATTTATATACACATATTTATCACCAATTTTTTTCAGTACGGATAGAATAATAATAAAAATAAAAAATAATTGTGTACCCAAAACTGGTAGGATTTAGCTTACAGATTTTTCATATACAACATAAACATAATGGCTTTCACAGATTTAAAAATATGCAATTTTATACATTTATATATATAAATATATATAATAATAATAATAAAAAAAAAGCATTGTAGCGATTAAATGTGTACATTATATAATTTCTTTATACAGCGTATATATAAAAAAAAATTACAGGAATGAATTACTTTCAATTTATATTTAATATTTATATAGAGAAAGAAACTTGATTTTATATTACAGAAAAACAAACAAAACTTCACTATCAAAATCTAATTTAAACCCTGTTTAAAAATTAAATGAAATACTATATAAAAAAAATTATACAAAATATTATACACAATCATTTGACAAGTTAAAAAAAAAAAATGTATTTCATAAGATGACCCGATTTTATTTTTGTACACTATAATATAATTGGAAGCAAAATATACACGAACGCTGTATAAGAAATTTGCTAAGGTCACAAAAATGGGGTGCTAATTGTTTTTAATATACATACCTTGTAAACGTCACCATATTAGAACTTGTTAAAAAAAAAAATTGTCGTATTTGCCATATTGTATTCAAAGTGTAATTAATATTAAGATATATTAAAGCCCCACACTAATAAGCTAATTAGTAATTATTTTTTTTTTGTTTCTAACAAATAATAATAAAAATAAAAAAATATCCAAATCCACATATTGTTAACTAAATTTGGATACTAATATTTTTAATGCACAAAAATTAAGTTAAACCCACTAACTTTGAATAATAATTATATAGTAATTTAAAAAAAAAGAACTTAATTTGGATTCAAAATACTAATTAAGGGATACAATGATAAAAAAAAAAAAAAAATTGTAGTAGAAAATATAGAATTGTTTAAAGCACTCCATTTGTTGGTGGTCCAATAGGCCCCAATTCAGATACAGGCACAGACTGTTGGTTGCTCTTCATGAAGTATTTTTCCAATTTMGAAATAATATGTTTGCCGTATGTGTACTTGCGCAGTGATGCAAAATGGGGACGGATTTTGTGCATAAGCACCTTACGTTGAGAAGATTCGCATACATCCAACATTTTTTGCACTACATAATTAGCGTATTGATCTTTCATCATTACATGTAAAGCGCTAGATGGTGAGAAAAAACACAATTTAATAATGACATAAATCAATATTGGACCTACTATTTATATAGCTACTTACTTGTCATTAAAGCCGCAAACCTCTTCTATAAGCATTGATCGTTCACTACGCGTAGCGTGCGTTACACATTTTTCCACAACGTTCGATGCAAACTTATGCTGGGATAGTGTCAACACCTTTCCGCGGACAGAGCATATTAATTTAGATTTGTCCTCTTGTTTACCGTGCTCTGTAAAATGAAATTACAAATGAATAATTTAATACACGACCATAAGAAAGTGCACCCAGAAGAGCGGTAATATATTAATATAAATTGCACACTTTAAAAGAGAACAAGATTTAACGGTTAACACAAACGTACCTAATACATGTTGAATTACATAGTTTCCATACTGGTCTTGTATCAATTGTTCAACGTGTTGATGCATTTCGTCAAGTATCGGTGCTGTCTGTTCAGATGTACAATGTTCGAGTATACGCTGAATGACTCTGCATCCGTATGGGTGTGTTGATAGTGTTAAAACCTAGACAAATCAAATGTAGTTAGATGTTAGTAATATTTTCTTCCGATTACTAATTTTGATGTCCCAAATTTAGAATCACTTACTTGTCCTTGGAAAGCGTTGATGATGAATTGCAGAGCGTGTGGATCAACACACTCGATGCATTTTTGGACTACGTGATTACCGTTTTGGTCTTTAACGCATTTCAAGACATGGCCGTCGAGCTCGCGCACGATTTCCACTTGTTGTTCTCCGCCCACGCTCTCCAACGCCTTCTGGATAACCCTGCAGCCGTACATTTGCAACGCCAATGGCAACACATGTCCACGTACCTATTTACAACAAGCCGATGTAATATTTGGATGTTGAGATATTATTCAAGACCGTTTGGAGATAACAAATGAAAAATATAATAGTTTACAGCGACGACATACCTTCTGCGCCAATGTGGATTTCTGTTCGGGCGTGCCGAACTCGAAGAACTTTTGAATGACGTAATTGCCAAACACGTCGGTCATCAAGCTGTACGCGGCGGCCAATATCTCCGAGAACACCAACTGCTTCTCGGGCGTGGAAGCCCTCTCCAACTTCTGCTGTATAAACCTGGAGCCGTGTTGGTCTTGGGAAAACTCGACAATATGATTGGTGAGGTCTCGTAGTTGAAGACTGGGGTAACGATTGTTCCTGCCACAGTGCAGGAGAATTCGATTGATTACGATTAACTGATYGGGGACGAATGCCACGCCAAATCGGCAGATGAGCCACACAAGTTACACAAATAACTAAGACAGCGGGGCTTGCACCCCTCCCCCCACTTGAAGCGAATGAGATAAATATTTAAACAGCATTAATATACGATTTTGTATATTACCGATGTTCTAAATAACAAAATATAAAATCACACCCAAATGGTATTATCGGGTGTAATTAACCAAGCAGTTTCATTGATTTAAATCTTTTCGACTGTAAGTTAAAAAAACTTCATAMAATTACTCACACTTGTCCCACCCTCCCATCTTATTCTCAGTGAGCTCATCCCCAAAATGGCAGTAGACCAGACGTTGTTCTTAAGAAGGTAACCTACCTAAAGTCTTCCAAGAGCCTGCTCCGGCCGGACGGTTTTGAGTCCAACGTTATGGAAGAACCACCCAACGAAGAAGCGCTACCACGGACGCCACCCATCTTGTTGAACAAGGAATTCGTATTGTTYGGATTTGCCGCTGTGCTAAACATAGCTCCGTTGGCGGCTAGACCACCCATAGCGTAATCTGTTCACAAGCAAAATAACAAATGAACACAAACACGGACGTGTTGTTGGTGGGTAACGTTGATCACATCGACGTTGTTTTGTGTGTATTATACTGCAAACGTGTACATACCTGCACTGGCCCTAAACTTGGACATGGCTTCAGCGCCCGGCGCAGCGTTCATCAGACCTCTGTTGGCGTTGTTGGCCGAATTCATGAGGCCCATCTGTAAATTGGACGCGGAGCCCATGGCTGGTGGAGGTGTTAGAGATCCCGAGGCGAGACCTAAAGGGCTTTGGGACGCTGTGCGACATAGACGTGGGAGAGAGAATTATTTTTGTATTAGTCACACGATCGACGGGGCAAACGGAATCAAATAGTGGTACATACCCAGTGTGTTGTACTGCGGCCACTTATGACGGGCGTAGTCCATGGACGGCGAAAAGGCGGACGTGTTACGGTCAAAGGAATCGCGTCTGCCGGCATTTCCGGACCCTAGACCAAGACTGACGTTGACATCGTGTACGCCAGCTGTCGAAAACAAACACGGAAAAAAGAAACAGCCCCGTAAGTATTGTTGCTTTTAGAATACACGGTGATATAGTTATATATTCTGTGGGTAGGTGGTATATATATGCGACGATAAAACATGACAATTAGCCGCAAAAGTATAGTGGTGTCATTTACACTGCAGTGTTAATTGTCGGGTAAACGTATTGTTCACGTAGGTACTTCATACGCGGCTAATCTACTGTTCAAACCGTAACAATATAACTAGACGTCTATTATAATACAATATTATAAATTGAAAAAACAAAAAAAAAAGTTAAAAAAAAAAAATGTTAACGTTGTTTTTATTATCCTAGCGTATAATGATAATTAATATGATATAATACCACGCGTATACAGGGTGGGCGCACTGTGGTGTTTACTCGTGTTAGGCGTGCATACTGATATACTATTAGATATTACTTTAGGTCTGTCCGGTATATAAAACGCTATTAAAACACCCACAGTGTATAGGTATATAATAATAACAATAATAATAATAATAATAATAATAAAGCCGCGAATCTAAATCCACGAGAATATAGAACAACAATATTGTGCTTAAAGCATATCGTGTTTTTACGTTAAAATTTATGATCCCACTACTCAGGTTTAATTTAATCGACCCCTAAAACTTTAAGACGGGATGATAATAGTAATAAATTTTACCGGTGGTTTAGTTGTTACGAGTGCGTTTTCTTCACCCGCACGCCGAGGCGTAGGGGTGGGTTAACAAACACATCCATCTTGATCGTGTTGTCACTATACTTCCGTTTTAATTAACCCGTCGTCCGAAGATTTAAATGGGCAACGCGCACGTTACGTTACACGGCAGCTACGGTTATATACCTAGCTACAAATAATAATTAGACTGACTGCAGCCAACGGGTATACTTATATTATAGTAACAAATCTATCAATATGTGAACCCTAGAGATAATTAAAATACGGTAGGACGTCAAAAGTAAGAATAATAGGTATTAATGTATTATTCAAGAGAACAAAATATGACAGAAACGATACAACTGCGACGTACGAGTGGTGTATATATATTTAGGACACGGTTGCAGGTTAAACTGTAGTTGAGTTCGAAACGTGGACAAAAAAAAATGCGTAGGCGTTGACCCCATACATAAGGGCACGGTCGAAAAATACGTGGCTAAGGAGAATACTCTTCTGTCGAAAACCACTACGAATGGGAAAAAGAGACTGCATCTAAGGTATAATGCACCGGATGGAAAGGGAYAGCGGAAAGCAAGAAAACTCGATGGCTCTCTCTGGTCGTGGGGTAGCTTTTAACAGTTCATCGGTCAGTGCTATACCAGCAGTCAGGACAGTATATTTWATTTATCGCGACCATAAGTGTATGGAATAGAATATAGACAGAAAAATAATGTACTAATAAATGTACGTATATTGATTATATGATTGTGTTTTCATAGGAAAAATCGTTTATAAATACTATGTAAATATTATGCATTGGTGTGATGTCAACAGTTAGATCGAATYGAAATTTTATTCAAAAACGTGATACATAATATTATTATTTATGGTAAATTAGTATGGGTAACACTGTAACAGCGTAAGTAGTAAATGTATAATTATATACAAACACGTATGTATATAGTGTGCGTGCTGCGAATCCGTCATGTTAACAGGTGGGGATATAAGAACTGTGTAGCTGCTCAAAGCACACGCTATACATGTAATAACTACCACCCTCACAGGTACCTATATATATATATAATTTAAWATAATTTCAACATATAGGTATATATTATGTAAAACAAAACGGCATTTAAAAAAAAACCTACTCGTGTGAGAAATCGTACTAAAATATGTATAATTGGGTATTAATATTAAAGCGATCACGGGTGGGGCGAGAAAACAACGTGTGAAAACTTGCACTCAAGACCCTTTATTTTATACCGGTGTCGTCGGAAAGGTATAATATTAATAGTAGTAGTAGTAGTAGTAGTAGTAGTAATAGTAGTAGTAGTATAGCTGTATTGTTATTGTTCATGTAGTAGTGGTAGTAGTAGTTGTAAGTGGTGGTGTGGTGGGTAGGTAGCGTGTGTAAGTCTGTGAGGCGGTTAAGTGCGGTGCGGTGAGGTATGGTATTATTATTATTATATTAAACGCTAAAGTGCGCACAACATAAACGCGTGTAGAGATATAGTAGGTACATAGTATTTGCAGCARAATAGCATATTGAGTGGAGTTTGAATCATTCGGGAGATCCTTTGCTGTACGTATAATGTGTACAAAGTCGAGTGGAGGCACATATTATTATTACTATCATTATTGTTATTGTTATTATTGTTATAAATATTATGCAAAAGCGTGCAAAACAAAAAAAAACAAAAACAAAAACCACATATTATAATAATCTGCGCGTATATATAGTATTATRAAAGGCGTCGCTAAGAGAAAAACGTATAATATTAATCCACACGAAACCTATAAGTACACGCTGAAGCTGCTGTTGCACGCTATATATTATACGAGATTATTATACCACACATTTATTGTTAGGTGGTACGTATATTATTATCATTAGTCATTTTACAAAACGGTTGAGGCGAACTGCGGGATTTCCCAAAGGCGTATTATATTATATTAAACACAATATTATATGTATTTATAAATATATATATATATATAATGCGACATGCAACAACAACAACAACAACAACAACAATATCAACATCAACAACAACAACGACGACGACGAAGGCAACGAAGGCAAAAACGTACCTGCGCTGACCCCCAGCGACGAAAGGCTGGATGTCAGTGAGGTCAAGTTGGTCGAATAGTTGTTGGCTGCCGAACCGACCGCCTGCTGAGGCTGTGGTTGGAGTCCTGTCAAAAAACACCCCGAGATAAAACACCAATAACACGAAAGTGATGATGGCGACGGAGGTAAAAATCCGGCTCGGTTCCGTTGGAGTGTGGGCGTTTATGGCGGCCGTATATGATGACGACGACATATTTATTTTTAACGTCGTACACGCGGCGGTGCTAGCAATGACGGAATTATTACACTCGTATACGGTCGTATATTTATGATAAATATTATTTTATTATCCACATAAAATGTGCCCACGGAAAATTCATTAGCCTCTGTTCCGCGCACGCACCACACGCACCGTCAACATTGCTACTAATTCACATAAAATACACGTCACGAGTATATTATTATAATACGAACGCAGCACTATACGCTGCTTTAATATTACGGTCGTCGCACGCCCCTTTCMCACCCCAACCCTCCACACTTTTGTGCCGTAATTTATACACCCCCTGCCCACTCTTAGCTATACCGTCGATATCTGCAGTAGATGCCACGACGAATGAAAATAATAACATTATAATATACAATATGCTCTCGSTATGACGACGGGTCGAGACAATACTGTTATATTAGACATTACTTTATTAGGCATTATTAAAATTGCATCTCGTCGTCAGCGTATATATATATATATATATAATATTATACTATATTATATTAAAACCACCGTTTCGTTCGCGCTCGACGGTCTTAAATTATAATATTATTAAGTAGAAGATACACGACCGCCGTAAAATGCTCGCGAGGGATGGGGGGAGGGGGTGCGTCTTTCGTACGATAATAGTTAAAAGATTTCGGACGGCAACGGATATACACATACGCTAATGAAAATACTTTCGCCTTGCATATTGCACACACGCACACGCACACAACGTTAACTATAAATATTTATACAACAATGGATATAAAATGCGTATAATGGCGTATAGACGTGCGCACTTTTGGTTCCGGAAATGAACGTTAGGTCTCACAAAAATTTTGAAAACCACTATAGGTACCTACATGTAATTGTTTATTATACAACCTAAACGATTCTTAAAATGAAAATTGATCAAAAACTCTTATAATAAAAATAAGTGTATGTATATGAGTTAACTCTAAGTTATGGAAGAAAGTAGAAACCAATTAAAAATTAACTGTTTACAAATACTTGGTAACATACCATTTTCTGTTGAGAAATTAGTCAAAAAAGTTTCTGTTGTTTCCGATCATTGGGAACTTTTATTAACACCGATTTATCATTAGAGCTTTGCGCTTTCGATGTTTGTAGTAGAACTCATTTTGAAAATAAATCTTCAAAAACTAATTACAATACATCACTCTAGGATATTATAAAATCATACACACGACGAATACCACAAACGAAAAAATGTCGAAAACCAACCCATCTGGATCTTTGTTTTATGATTAGGGCTTCGGGCAGCCCCTGCAGTGCGCACGCCAATGTACAATTTGTACGACGCGATAATAATTATGACAATACTGCGTCAACGTAATATTATATTATGATGCGGTTAGACGATTGCGTACCTTGTTGGGCGTTGACGATGACCGATGCCGGTGACACGAGTCGGAGCTGACCGCCGTTGCGGGTCATCACCAGCGATCCGTTTTGGTCGTAGAACGCCGGTATGACCTGGTACTGGGTGCCGTCTCCCTGCGACGGGCTCATCGGCCTGCGCTGTTGCTGGGCCGTGTTGGTGCCGTTGGCCGCGGTGCCGGGCTGACCAGCCGCGCCGGCCGGTTGTATGATGCTGCCCGCCGGATACATGCCCCACGGCACGCCGTAGTATTGCGGCACCACTGTCGGACCTGAGCCCATAAAGCCTTTATTGTGACAACACACGCACGCACACAATAGTAATAAAACGTTCGATGAAGTACAATAATATTTTAATATAATATATAGGTACATGTTTTATTTTTTATCAAAAATGGTGGATGTATAACGCAATTATAGCATACGGCGAGGGGTGTATCATAGGTGTGTAGGCTATGACGGCAGACAGTAGGAAACCCGAAGGAAGATAGGAAGCAGACCTTGTTGCATAGCCGTCCCAAGGGGGGGGG